GACAGGCTTGACTACAAAAATGATTATAATTCTGACAACTTTCATTCAAATTCACTTAACGTTAATACTACGTCAAATTATATAAATTCGAAGAAAATTGTTTTGGATACGGATCATGCTAGTATAAATGAATTTTGCAAATTAACTGAAACGGCTGATTCTGCTTCAAATACTGGAACCAATGTTTGCAAAGAAGAGTTCATAATGATTCAATCTATGCACGATGAGCATAGCTATCAAAATAATTGTCGAGAAACTGACCACACACCAACTAAATTTCTAAAGTCTAAAGATTTATCAAGAAGTGTAAATCAAAGGCTTGCAACTTCCAAATCTTCAAGAGAATTTTCTTCGCCTACTAGTATGTTGTTTGACAATTTAGTATAATTTAATAGACCTAGGATTGGAAGAAAACTCCGATTTTATTAAACTTGGAGAACGCCGAGTTCAGGAATACTTCGCTCAAAAAGAATTTTGTTCGCTAGATAAAGCCTTTGAAGAATGTGCCTCCATAATGAAAGATAAACTATCTGTACGATTTTTTTATTGTTTTCTTTATATTTCAGTTTGAATACGAAGGTATTCGTGAGTCTATGCAGCGTGCAGTCAAACGAATACTATCCACTGAGATGCATAGGTAAGTGTTTTATTGTCTTTTGTCGTGTTATATTGAATTTTGGTTTTAGAAAATAAATGCTTTTAAACCGGATTTATAAAATGCTTTTAGATTATTTATCTGTTTCCTTTTATTTTAGAATAATCTATATGATGCGTCAAATGCGAGATCAAGTCGCAAGTCTAAGAGACCTTACTCGAAACTATGAAAGAAGTTTGGCCCAAAAAGATAGAGTTATTGAAGATCTTATGACCGATTTTTCCCGATCAAGAAAAGCTGCAGAATCGGCCATTCTAGACAATCATAAGAAGCGCGAGGTTTATTGTTTATACTCTACTTCCATATAGTTCACTTACATATACATTTTTTATTAATTAACTTATTTAATTAGCTCCAAGTAGGTAACAATTATGTCCATAAAATAAAAAAGCATTATATTTTCATCTCAATAAATTACTCTCTATCCTAAACATCATTTACAATCATTACAGTTCTCATACTTAGTAAGTCAACGATTTAGCGTTTTGGAAACGGGAAAATATGAATAATCTTATTTAAGTTACCAATAAAACTATGAGTCATGCATTTTTATTACACTAGCATGTTTACCTTTTACTTGTTTATTTTATCTGCTTGAAGCTTTCTCATTTTTTCATTAAAAGATTTTTCACCAGTCTTAGGAAGGTTTCTATTTTTATAGCATTTCTGCAGTGTCTTGGCTAAAGAGCATGCTCGGCGTGCATTGCTTCACAAAGTAATAACAGCATGGCGTTTTACCTTAGAGAAGTGCTGGAAGGATCGTACTTTGTCCCGGATGCAAAACGAAGCCCGTGAAATATGTTCAAATTTGACTTTAGCTTATGAGTCAAAAATAAGTCAAGTAGGTCAAAACACCATTCTTATTTCGTATTCTTTTTGTGAAACCACGCTTTGATTGTAATGGTATTTTTTAATACCGGTCTATTATGGTTTACACCCTTCTTAGATCATAGAATTACCAAAACTTAAATAGTTTAACATGGTTTATCAATCACTTACAAATAGTTATAGAATCATATTCACGATTCTCTGTCAAAGTGATGAATTCTTTAACTATTTTCGAAGATTGTATCCTTGGTTTGTGTTTAGAGGTT